CTCGGGAATATATGAAGTTTTGCCAAGTGAAACCCGTGCAAACTGAAAAAATTGCCCAAGATAAATTTTGATTGGACCTAACTCACGCAAATTGGCAAGGAATTCTAGATAATTTGAGTGTAAAGAAATATTGAAAAAAAAAAGAGATGTTTTGCAATGAAGAGGGAAGGGAAAAAAGTTAGAAGAATGCTATAAATCAAATATACCAAATTTGGATGAAAAAACACTTGAATTTTGTCATTGAAAGTAGCATTGGAGATCTGAAATCCACTTTTATCTTAGTTGGCGTAATAATGAATCTCATTATATATTGTGTCATGTTTTTGGACAAGTATCTTCAACATAATTCTTGTATACATGTAATCATCATTATATATTGTGTCATGGTTGGACAAGTAATCTTCAAACATAATAATCTTGTAGATAAATGCCAAGGAGTTTAAATGTATTTTGAAAGAAGCATAGATAGGATGTGCTGATTATATTCCCCACCAAAAAAAAAAAAAGCTATTTATAAAGAACTCAGTATTCACAATATTAAATATTATTTATTCTTATTAAACAAAAATACATGTGAAATTTTTGGATTAGGAACTCTCTCTCAAGTCCCTGTTGATAAAAATTTTGGGGATAGTTTGTTGAATAGCTGGCCACCTTGCCAAAGTTACTTATGTTTTATGAACCATTTTCTTGCTGTTAGCGGTTCCTCATCTGTGTACTTAAATACCTGTTAAGATGCATACTTCAGGCTCTGATCTTAACACTTGAAGGGTTAAGTGAAAAGTCCTTTTCTATGTGAAAGTGGCTTGCTGATCATACTAAACTTTCAGTTACTGGGAAAGAAAAATATTTTGCAGCCCTACCTAGAATTTAACCTTCTTTCAGAAAGCAAGCTAACTTAGCAAATATTTTAAGAAATGTTGAGAAACCAAAATAGTCAATAACTCTGTGAAATGATGTAGTGAAACATAAATTAACTTTTGTTAAAGTGAAAAGCATCATAATTTTCATTTTGCAAATGAAATTTCTTGAAAATTTGTGTGTATGCCTATATATATATATATACAGGGTGTAACAGCGTTCATAGTAGGATATTTAAAACACACCATAAGGCAACAAATGTAATTTATTTATTACCTCTTATATCAATTAATAGTTAAAGGTTGCGGCTTACACATTTACTAATGTGTAAGTCATTGTCCATTGCGTGGATTACTGGATTACTTTTTGACTGTGATGCCCCTTCTGCGCAACACATTCATCTAGGTGGTGTTGGAAACTTGCCATAACTCTGCGTGACATATTCCCTGGGACATTGCTGACAGCAGTTCTGATGCGATCCTTCAACTCAGAAATGGTGGCACAACGTGTTCGGAAAACTTCTTGCTTCAGGCGCTCCCAAAGCAAAAAATGTCTGCACGTGGAAGATCAGGTGAGCCAGGTGGCTAGGAAATGTCACCAAAACAGGAAATTATTCTACCTGGAAATGGCTGCTGCAAGAAATCCATGCAAATTCTGGCTGTATGTGAGGTCGCTCCGTTTGTTGAAACCATAATTGTTCCACATCGACCATACCTAATTGGGGAAGAATGAAGTCTTGCAGCATCTTTAAGTAGTATTCACTGGTGACAGTTACAGCCACACTGCAGTCATCCTCAAAGAAGTAAGAGCCAATAATCCCAAAGGAAGCAACTCCACACCACACTGTGACACGAGAACTGTGCAAGGGCTTGTGCAGTTCTTGTGCATGTGCAGTTCATGCGGATTTACATCACTCCAATAATGCATATTCTGTTTATTCACTGAACCACATAACTCCAAATGTTCTTCATCTGACATCAGGATGGTGTGCAACATTTGTTGATTTAGGCGAAGGAGTTCACGCATGGTTAAGCAAAATGTTTCTCATGCAACCCAATCACGAGGCCTAATTTCCTGATGGAGATCTTTATGCAATATTCTCCTGATTGAGCGATCGGACATATGCAAAGTTTGCGAATGACCACAAGGAGATGTGTTTGGGCTACACTATTGCAGCATGAACATTTTCCATGGCTTTTGGTGTCTGCACAGTTCTTTCACTTTTTCCCAGTTTGCCATTGCGAACAGAACCTGTTGTTCGAAATGCACTTACCCACCTCACAATGGTCCGTTCATCTGGATCTTTCCCATAACTACCTCACAATGCTCTGTCCATCTGGAACTTTCCCATGACGTCCCAAGTTGAAGTGTTGCCGAAATAAATGCTGAGTAGTAATAACAGAGTAGTTATTCTTGAAATAACTTTCAACAGCAAAAGACGATGCCATGCACTCCACCGATCCATAAGTCAAATTACGCTATGAATGCTGCTGTACCCTGTATATATGTACTGCATGTCTGTAAGAGCTTTGCCTTTTAGGTGTGCATTGCACTGCATAATGTTCTTAGTAGTTTAAAGTGTAATTATTAATTGTGCTCTATATTCCTGAAAAAATCTGTACAGGTGCTTTTGTAGAAAGTTCTAGAACTGTAAAATATTTATTTTAGCAAAGTAAATTTTTATCAAGCTATTGTTGGTTCTATGTGTGTTCAATCCATTATAAACCCATGTGTACATGACGATATGCATACTTCAAGCTCTAAACTGATAAGTAAGTGGAAAGCCAAACTGTTCAAATGTCTTGCTGATCATACTGAAAACTTGATCGTACCGAAAACTTATGTGGTAGCAAAGAAAGCTGTCATTGCAGCAGTTTCCAGGAAATTAAACCTGATGTTGTGAAACAAATTAATTTCTAATAAATTAATATTACATTTTTCACGTTCCTAATGAAATTGTTTGAAAATGTGTGTGTATGTATGTGTTTCACATTAATCCTTTGTTGCATAATGTCCAGTCTAGAAGGCAAAAGTTTAAATTTGTTTATTCTTCTGTAAATGCCTAACAGATTCCATTCCTGTGTTTATTCATTCTATATTATTAGAACTTTCAACTGTCAATCATAGATGGCTGTATAGTATCACTAAGTAAAGCATTGCTACAGTCAAAAATCGTTAATCCGGACACGTCGGGACTTCGGTGATTCCGGATTATCGATTTTTCTGGATTATAGATCATCAGTTTAAATCTCGTAAGATGGCATGCAGAAATTCTAAAATTAAAAATATGAAACCGTAATTAATGAAATAAAGACAATTATGATCTAAAGGGTATCAAAATTTACAAAAAAAAAAAAAAAAAAAAAGCTTAATATTTATTTGTTTACTTTATTAAACATTTCTTCAATGTAAGTTGTTTAAGTTGCTTCGTTTTATGTGATAATACTTTCTCTTTAATTCTATAAACAGACATAATTCCTTGTTCAGTTACAAAGTTCCGCTGTTCAAGTCCCGTTAATTGCTGTGCCAGAATACCGACTAACTGTCAATCGAAATTTTTTCGTTTTGACTAACCTCTCTGTCACATTCTTCATGTCTTTATCCATTTTTTGGAGCAATTCCGTTTGTTGTTTGTTGGACATCGAAACATACTTTCGTTTTGTAGATCCTTTGGAAGTTCCAGCATCGGAAATTCTATTTGACATAATCGAAATTTCAAGTTTACTTTTATAAAATTGCTCTTACAGTCTGCAAAAATAATAAGCGGGATCCAATTCGAAGATTAAGGAACAATGCAATCATTACATTAACTGAAATAGATAATTAGATAATTTTAGCTTACACCTCCGTTATACATTAAACACGCAGGCGAAAACGTATCTGCACTTGCGCACACGCATATGCGCAGTAGTCAAGGTTCCGCGCACGCGTAAAACGCCTGTGCGCATGTGCCAATGTGCGCATGGCAAAGTTTGTAGCTTGAGGTCCGGATTATGGGTGTCCGAATTAACGACTTTTGACTTATTGGAAAATGGGGCTAGTTTCTGTTAGTACAATTTTCATAGTAAACATTATATAATATTGGTTACATTTCTTATATGCCATTTTTATTCATAATTAGTAATTTTAGACATGTTTATTTTAAATGTCAGTTTGTGAAAATTGTGGAATGAGTAGCTAAAGTCTACGAAAAGAGTGACTGAAACCCAAAATACGCTTATCAAGCCAAACGCCACTGGAAATTTGTTTGGCAGGAGGAAGCTAGAACATTTGACATAATCCAATAGGTACAGGTACAAAATCAGTGCAAAATAGATTCAATCACAATCGACGAAATGAAGGTATTTGGGGGATCTGTCCTACAGTCTGTAGGTATTTACCATTTAGAAGATGATAATGATCACTGCAAACAAGGCAGGAAATGATTTCAATGCAATGGACTGTAAAGGTTGGGAAGAGATTTGTAGCATGGTACGTATGCATGCTGTCCATTGTAGTGAACAAACTGTAGCAATTATTTAAAACAAAAGTTGAATAAATTATTATTTTTTTATTACTTAGGTATTTTCAGTAGAAAAATGCAAACATTTTCATTTAACTTCTCTAGATTATTTGTATGCAACAAAGGGTTAATATTCTGAATTATCTGAAATTATCTCAGATTTTTTTAACGTGATAGTTTTCATGATTTTTGATTAGGGTCACAGTCAACCCAATATATAAAAAAATTTAATTATATTTTTTAAAATTATTAGAGTTCAAATGCTCTGAACATATATGATTTTATTTTCATTCATGCCAGTTTAAAGTATTTTCAGTTTAAACTCATAATAATAACTGTTAAATATTAAATACAATGTACTCCATAAAATTATTTTAAATGGTGGTGAAAAACTTCATTAAATTTACAAAGGAAGAATTGTGATTTACCAACGCTTAGAAGTAAATGAAATAAGATTTTATGTATATTATATCTGATATCTAATTGCCTTTCTGTATGTTTTGCTGCCTTAGGCTGTAAATTTGAATGTCACTGTTTTTATTGATCTTGTATTGTGTATTATTTATTTACATAGACATATAAATGCAAAGAGTTATTTACTACTGTTGCATACTTTTGCATTTTTGTTATTTTTTAGTGCAATGCTTGCAGTTGCTCTTGATAATTTTACTGTGGTTGTTGTGGATCTCGAGTCTCGTAAAATAGTGAGAGAATTTCAAGATCATGATGGTGCTATTTCTGACATGGTTAGTTTTTATGTTTTTGTGTTTTTCCATGTTACTGCTTCTCTGACACCTCCCCATCTAATATCTGATTATTATAAATTGCTCATAAAATGTAATGTATTAAAGAAGTTTCAAGAGTTTGCTAGCAGTTAATAAGACTGTTAAAATTGTTTTATATTAATTTTCCAGCATCACTTACCTTACTTAAATTGGATTTTTGTGCAAAAAGTCTCAGAAATTAATGAAAAAATAGACACAGATTAAACCTTTCAAATAAAAGTTCATGTTGTGAGCTATACACTGTATATTAACCCTCTGACCAGCACGTGGTTTTGCCAGGAAAGCCCATTGGTTTTGCTAGGAAAGCCCATATGAGAAAGAGGTATTTCCCCAAGTGTAACATGTATGAAAGCCAGTTTCCCTTAGAAAGCCTTCTTTTTAAGCAGATAGCTCTCGAATGCTTTGCCATAATCAAACAAACAAACAATATTCAGCTTCACCATATATTAATAATTTTACACGAAATGTTACCTAGCATGTGAAAGTCATGGTTTTTGACTCATCCTTCAAATTACATATTTCCTTCTATAATGCACATTTAGAATTATAAATAAGCATCAGCCTTGAACAGATACTATCTTGCAGTTTATTCGAAGAACTGATTCAAACTCTTTGTCTCAATGGAGTAATGGCTCATTGGGTCAGTGCATGACATGGTAGGATCTTCTAAGATATGCTTATTTTGTTTCCTTGTATTCTAAGAGTGGTACATCTGCCTTGCATAGCCTTTCATTTGAAACACGCAGAAAGGTGGAGGCGAAGATAAAAGAATAGTAACCTAAATGTGTTTTATATTATTTTAATACTGTAAATAGGTTGAACTTAACCTGCTCGCGGCGGGCACCTCTGTTGCCGAAACATTCTCTTGGGACAGCGCGTTAACCGGATGCGTCGTCCCGTGGGGACGGGCAATTTACACTGCTAAGCCTAACTTTGGAAAAAATTTCGTATAAATGAAATTTTTCATCGAATTTTTTCAATTTGGGGTACAGTGTGAAAAGAACATTCAGGTAGTTGTCAGAATTAATTTTAAGCCTTTATAATTTTATTTTGCTTAAAAATTTTATAAAATGCTCATTCTAGAATAATATAATTTTCCCCTTATCGCACAAATAAATATATATGGAAAAGTTTCCAAACAGTCCCAGATTTTATTTAGCACATCACGCAATTAAAATTAAAAAATATTAAAACTGTCTTTTATAAAAATTCAACGAGCAAACAACGAAAAGTAAGCAGTGTTGCAGAATGAGACAGTGTATGATATTCTTTGAAACATGGGTGTACGCAAAATCCAACGTTGCATTAGTCACAGGAATATAATATTTGCTGCTATTTTACTCAGCAAATTTGACTCATTTAGCATTTGTATATGTTCTATGGACAGATAGTGCTTTCGTTTGTTTTACAATTTAAAAAAAAAAAAAAAAAAAACACCCTTTTGCTAAGCGATACAAAATATTCGTCTCAATGCCAGAAAACTCAAAGAGTAATAAAAAAGTCTCTAATGATAGAACATCTACTCCACTATAACCGATAAAAAAATAAAAATTAAATAAATTAAAGTTAAATTAATAAATTCCAAAGCATTGAGAACATGTTCATTTGTTTATATAAAATGACACAATAAGAGCCATTACATTACTCAACACTAACAAATTAGCGATTGTGTATATTCTACATTTAGATACTGCTTTCCATTTGCCATTAAAAAAAGATGTGTTTCGCTGATGATTAAAAATATTTATTTCAAAGCACGAAAATCTAAGAGTAATTAAAAAAGGGGGGAATATAAGAGTAATAAAAAAGATCTCTAATGATAGAACGTCTGTCCCACTATATCGCAAAAACAAAAATAAAAAGTAAGTCAATGCAGTGAGAGCATGTGAATTTGTTTATATCAAATAATGCAGTTAAAGAGACATTACATTTCTCAATACCAACCCACGAATCTCGCTCTCATTCCGAAACAAAATACCAAAAGTAAAAATCATTGCATAGGAATGAAGGTAAACATACTTAACTTTCGATATATTTCCCCATTACAGGCATACAGCTACATCTAGCAGCAACAAAAAATATTAATTAAACGTTCTATCTAAAAAGTCAAATGTGGTATGCCTGTCCAGTAGAGTGATACTGAACGGGTTAAGAATTTGTAATTTTTAAGTTGAAAGTTTCAGAAATTTTTACCAAAGTTTGAAAAGACAAAAAATTTTCAATTTAAGATATCAACAAAGTATTATCATCATATCCAATGTTTATATATTCAAAAATTTTTTAGAGCTATATCAAATAAAATTAAGTCTATAGGAAATTAGACACACATTAGACATCCAGGGGTTTGCTATAAGTCGGAGGTTCACTATAACTGGGTTTGACGAGTATGTTTAGTATAATAAGTATGTAAGATAAAAAAATAGATAACATAAAATTCTAATTTTAATTTGCAATAGTCATTTAACTCTCCATTTTAATTTGATTATTTCCTCTTTCCATCTTAAATATAGTAACTGCTTATAGAGTGTATAAAAGTGAGAGTTTCTGTTCATAATTAATTTGATTACAGGCAAAAACATTGCAGAGAAAAACAACACAAGGCGAAAAAAAACCACCGTACAAAACATCTTGGAAGAAAATGTCACAATTCAAAAACCTAGTTGTACAAAACATTGCTGATGAAGATAAAACATTTTAAAAACTTCACAGTTTAAAAACATAAAAAATATCATGATAAAAGATAAAGCACCTGCAAATCATTACACGACAATAACATTACAGACATGCATTTTTCAAGCTTTAAAAGTTGTAAATGCATATTCAAATATTGATTTATGAGTGCAAGTAGGAATAAGGAATATTTTTATTTGTATGAGTTTAAAGGTTCCTTTTTACTTTTTCTGCAAAAATTTATTAGTTAATTCTGAATTATGAAATATAAAAATTAAAATATTCCTCATTCCTTCTCATACTCACAAATCATTATGCGAATATGGATTTACAACTTTTAAAACCTGATAAATGTATGTCTGTGAAAGACAATTTTTCTCACTTTTATATCAAAAGACATTTTATTTGATCCCTGTGCAAGCCTTAAGTGTCATTTATTATTTTAAATTATGAGTATATTAAATTTAATTGAATAGAAGTGATCAAATTTTAGTCCCAATCATTTTTGATTATGTAAAATTTTATTAGGATTTATGTGCTGACAATATAAATATTATTTAATAATTTACTACTTAATGATATTTGTAATTTTTGTTATATTTATCATTGTAGACAGTTTTATAATTTTTATTTAAAGTGTAACTTTTATTTAAAATGCTTTCTATATAGAAAATTTTTAAAATAATAAGTATTATTTTTATTTAAATATCTATTTTCTAATGCATGTAGGTATTTAGTCCAGATTCTAGATGGTTAATAGTGGCCACTATGGATTCGGCAATTAAGACATGGAATTTACCTACTGGAAAGTAAGTCAGTTTTTCTTTTCTTTTCCCATTTTAAATATGCATACATAGGTACATAGGTACACATTCACACATATAAATGATTCATCTCAAATTACTTCTTAACCCGGAAAGGTATGCATAATGGTTCTGTGTAAGATTTTATGTATTTCATACTCTAGCTACAGGACCAGAAAGATGCTAATTTTGAAGAGTATAGTTCAGTGAGTCCACACAGTAAACCAACTTATAATGGTACTTTGTAATAATGATTTTAAACCTCATACATCTAAATCATATTGTTACGTTTTTCTTTTCCTGACACCAGTTGTTACGTTGTTTTCTACCTTCACGTTCATATGGGGTTCGTAGATTTGGAGTGAATAACGACGACACTTGATGAAGTATCGAAACGCCTTTATTTAGCCACTATAATCAGGACATCTCATAACACTTTTTTACATCATTAAAATCTATATAAACAGCTGACACGATCAGCGAATAGCCTTCGGCTATAAAGGGAGACGCTTCACGGCAAGCAATGATACAGCTCTCGATCTGCTTAGTCTTCCGGAACTTCGCACTCTCGAGACTCTCCACCTACACTTGCGATGACACTCGATGAACACGACCGCTCTGACTCTCATTCAGTCGTTTCCCCGAGCTGAACACGCCTCTCGACGATGCACTAACCGCAATACACTAATACTCCTTCGGTGAACTAGAGACCCACTCGCACTCGATGTAGGCTTCGCCTCGTCGCTCTGCAGGGATTGACTCGTAGACGAGAACCAACTCAATGACTCTCTCGCACTCTATGCGAGGGCACATACACTCATATGCGGACCAGCCGGTTTATTATCTTTGGCTTGTGTTAGAGAACATTCTGGGCTAAACCGGTAAGAATTCGTTCCAGAAGGTTCTCCATCCGTCCATGGTGGTATCGCCAATTTTTCGCCAGATGTCGCCAAATAGGCGTTTTCTCACCAAATGTGGCAACCCTGCCCTCCTTTTCCATTTTATGGCAACCATAAAACTGCTTTGCGGGGGGAGGGGGGATTTTACCGCGCCTTTACATTTCGTAACAATATCATTCAGTAGAGTGAAATTCTATCTTGTGTCACTTAAAATTTTGTGGAGGTAAAAAATGGAGGATAAAAGTCTTCAAAAGAAAAATATTGGAGATTTTATGCTAAAAACAGAACCATATTTTAGGTTCTACAAAATATTCATCAGAGATTATCTCTAAACTAGAACAATGTAGACTAGTTCATGAAAATCATTGTTTAATTGTCTTAAATTTGCTTGAAAAAGCAGACTTCAGTAAAAGTGTGTGTCAGTTCAATTTTTGTAGAAAACTGCCATGTCTTTCTGGTGGCAAAAATTTTAGTTTTGCTATCTAAGTTTGGCTTTTATCCTGAAAATCTTCACTGAAAGGTTGCAGTGTTGAAGGAATATTATGTCTATAAAACAAGTTTCTGGATATGTTCCAAAAATGGGAAAAATTGGGAGTAGTTTTGTGTAGAGAAAAATATCATGGAGTTTGGGGTATAGGAAATATTGCTGTGAGGCAAAGTTTTTAAAAATATTATGAGATGCAATTTAGACAGAACATTATAAACTTAAAGAAGAAATGCATACTATTGTGTAATGACCAGAAATATTTAAGTCAGATTTTAATGTGTACCACATTAAATGTGACTTAGAATATTTCAGTGACTTTATAAGCAAATAATATAAATTTATGTGTACAATAGTAATATCACAATAAATGTAAATTTAAGTTGGGAAATTTAATGATTGAATAAAATTGTTTCAGGCTCATAGACTGGTTTCTAGTTCCTCAGATATGTACAAGTCTTACTATGTCCCCTACTGGAGAATATTTAGCTACTGCACATTCTGGATGTATCGGTATATATTTATGGGCAAATTCTGTATTGTATTCTAATGTGTCAATACACCCATTGCCTGAATCATATGATCCTACGTTGGTTGATCTTCCATTAACGTCTTCAGAAAATAGAGAGAGTGAGTTCTTTTATTTTATTATTTTTATTTATTTTTTTATTTTTTTTTTTATTATTTATATTACCCGCAATTTCCGGAAGAAACGCCGCGACGTTTACGTGTTTAAACTTAAATTTCAGCGGGTGCGGTTGCGGCGTTTAGGTGCACTAAAAATAAAAATATTCCCTACGATATGTCATTGTACATAGTTTGGATGGCCTTGTCATTGTGCATAGACTTAGTGCTATTCCCACACAAAAGACCACTCAGTTACTTTCTTGCGAACGTTTATTTTGTTTACATTCTTTCCCTTGAACAGACCTACATGCCTTATTCACCCTAAACGAGATCTCAGAACAATAACATTCTTCCCCCTTTAAATCAACATCTCATCATTTGAATAGTCTCTCATTCTGCTATTCGATGAAGCTTCCAGGACCCATCCTCACCCCACCCCTGTCTTTTCTATTGTAAATCTACTGCAATTTTTTTTTCAAAGGCGGACAGACACCAACTGCGCTCGCAATAACGAACTTCTGACGTATTTCCCCTTCAACGCATGAATCAGATTTTTCTTGGCATTCTGCTGCCAGATACAGATCCCATCAGTTTGGGTACAAGTACTTGTTGATAGTTTTTTAAGTAAGAGGAGCGGGAAAATTTTGAAAATGTCTAAACGGCACAAGAAGCTTACATTTCTACCTTTAATTTATTTTTGAGTTATGGTTTCATTTCATGCATTTTTCTTAACTGGTATGTCATATATCAGGACTTAGGTTGAGTTTTTGCATCTATACGGCCCCACGACGATGTCATGCGCAATTTAATCTACTGCGGCGTTTCTGTGTAATTTTAATTTTTTCCCCGTCATTTTTCTCGAGTGCGGCGTTTACGCTGATGCGGCCTTTCTTCCGGAAATTGCGGTAACTCTGTGTTATCAATAATAGGCTAAATAATGCAGTATTAAATTTATGACTAATAAATGTCAGTAATAAATTGTCGCTGATAAATTTGTCACTAATAAATAACAGAGAAAGAGGAAAATCTAGAGCTTCCCTCCCCCCCAAAAAAAATATTAATTTGGAGCCTACAAAAATAGACCAATCCTTTTAGATATATATGTATATTTGCATTTTTTAAACTGACATTTTAGTTAAAAAAAAAAAAAAAAAGTTTCTTTTTATGCATATGTACTTAAATACAGTATAAAAATTTCCCAAATTTAGTCATGCTTAAAAAATTTGCATAAAAGAAAAAGAAATTGATGATTGTATAGCACTAAGTACTAAACTATAGTTTAATTGCTCTTAAGAAGAGCTATTGAAAAGATTGGAAAAAGACAAAATATAGTCATAGGGAAATATTTTAAATTAAGTAGAGGTATAAGAGGAGAGCAAAATGATTTTTTAATTGGAAAATGTTAGCAAATAAACTGGAGGTTAGGAGGGGGAAAAAATGCCTTTTTTAATTAAAAGGAGTCCTTTTTCTGTATTTCCCCACCCCTTCTTCCTGTAACTGCAGCATAAAATGTGTATAAAAGATGTAAAAAAATTGTTGTGAAATTTCAATATGACAGAAAGATTCCTAAAATGAGTATTATGAACAAAACATAATTAATTTTCTTTCATCCTTTAATTTATTTCTTATTTAAACACTGAGAAAGTAGGAAAGTACAATTGTAACATTTATTTTAATTGACTCACTACATTAAAATCTGACCTATGCTCTTGCTGTTTTGTGTACTCCACCAAAATATGTAAATGAGAGGTGTTTTAGACTGAGTAAAAGTCTAAATTAAGAGAAGGAGAATTGGCTACATCTGCCTAGTTTAAAGAACTTCTGATTGTATCTGTCACAAGCAATATTTGTCTTCATTGGTGAGTTTCTCCTTTGCTGTTGAACAATTAATGTGTGAAATAAGCTGAGTATAGGATTAGAATTAAACTAGCAAATTATAAATCGTTTTGAAATTTCATGTTGGTATTTCCATGAGAAGCAGAGGTAAATGTGTTTTTTAGTTGTATTTTTATGCTTCAAGCTGAAGACATAATGAGTTGTTGTTATTTCTGTTGTAATAATTTAATATTTTGACTCTGTAGTAAAAGCAAAGATAAAGAATTAATTTTTCATTCCATCAGGAGGCTAGGCTTCACATGCTTTGCAATAATCAAAAACCTGAACCTTTCATCCCATCTTCATCTTCTAGAAAATTAGACTAACTTTAGGTTAAGTGGAAAAACGATAAACCTTAACTTTTTGTTGTTGTTATTGCTGCTGCTGTGCTGGATTTTGTTCAAACTTTAAAACCAATTGAAAGAGTTTTTGAAATATATTTTGATGTATCTTGCTGTATCAGCTTTCTACGTTCTTCTTATCTACAATTCAGTTTTACTCAAGTATTAAGAATTGGTTTGGTGGATATCTACATGTTTGATAAGTGTTATTTATATATCAGGAATGCTGTTGGAGGATCTAGTACATTTTGCTATCATAAAATGGTAACTAGATCTACTTAAGTGTTTACTTTGCAAATTTTTGCACAGGCGTGAAAATGAACAGGACTAGCGAAAGGGTGTAAAAGATCCTTTTATTTATCACGAACTGTTTATCAGATGGCATGGACTTGCGTGCTTACATAAAACATCAACCACATGCAGTGAGAACTTAAAAAAAAATAATAATAATAAATTTAAAGGTTGTGTATGAGGTTACACATTTCAATTTAAATTAACAGGTTGACTCAGAAAACCTACACCGGCAGGATACTAACTCGATGGCAAGAATGCTTAGCTGCTATTAACAAATAGAAACTATCAAACATGCACTCACAATAGCAGATTCATGCTCTGACTAACCTTTTCATTCCAACAGTAAAATACTCTTTTTCACTCTGCTTAGTTTAAATCCTGGCGAAAAAACACAAGGGGAAATAAGAGAATTCAGGAAATGCTCACAAAATAAAATAACTATGAATAAAAATAAGCCGAATCCTATATCTTTCCCCACCAAAATTTAACTATCATCACTAACAGTCTTTAACTAACCTTGATAAAGATATTTAAATTCTAAATCTAACCCAGAGTCAACCTTCACAAAAGTTTTGACCTTTAAGATTAATTTGTTTTACAGATGTACCATTTTTATAACAAACTCAATATTCTTCTTAGAACTTTTTCACAGTTTAGAATGAATAGCATACATTTAACATATCCACTTAGCTTCCAAAGGTTTTACACAAATTGTATTTCATTTAATATCACATGCAGAAACTTTTACTCATTACATTGTTTTCAAATTTTAAAAGTCTCCCCTGCACTTCAGCAAGGTGTACTGATATGATGGCATGTGTTCATGTAAAACGTGTTCTACATTCCCATCTAACTGGCATCCTACTTGTTAGCATCTAGACATATGAGACATCAGAATTACAACTTATATTCAAATCTCTGCCCTGAGGTGCTAAATCTAGTGAAAAATTAACTTAGTATTGGCTGGAGAGCTTAAATTTACTTTTCAAGCATTCTCAACTAGTTTTTACTTTTAACATAAATTCTTAACTCACTTAATGTAATTCTTAACGTAAGCTTGACTTAACTCTTTCATCTATACACATTTGTCTCCATTTACAAGCATTCAAAAATATTTTTGTCTTTAATACAATTTCACAAAACTTTTTGCATTTACAATTATTGTTCAGCTGTCTATTGCAAAGCCTCTGTTGGCATTTTGCCAAAAAACAAAGAATCGTCCAAAAGGGGCATCAGTTAAGTGCTGTGAGGTGAGAGGTAATGTGACAGTTCTCTCTTCATCGGTAAAAGGGAATTTATATGATTGAGAGAGGGAAAATCCTTATGTCAGCGGGTGATGATGTTGCATCAATTGTCTTTCGCGCCTTTAGTTTCTTTCTTCTCTTTTCTCTCTCTCTCTCTCTCTCTCTTTTTTTTTTTTTTTTTTTTTTTTTGATTTGTAGAAATAATTGCCAAGATTCAAATTGGTTTGCAGCCCAGAAACCTAGAATGTTGAAATTTTTTTCATAATGTAGGAATTTTATATGAGCAATGCATAAGTCATTGCTTACTTTTAAAGATAAGGTCACTAAAATCAAGGAACTGTATTCTTTAGCGGATGTATTCTTTTTTGTCTTAAAGAAAGAAAACCGATCAATAGGTTTCCATCGTATTTACGCGGGATTTATTTAGATCATGGTTGATTGTTTACTTAATTTTTGTTAATATTGCGATCTTTTGTGTAAGCATTAGGGATAGCTCGTTTTTATTGTTAAAATGAGTTCTGTTGGTAAAAACAAAGCTTTTCACAGTGATACTAAGAAATTGCTGTATAATGTCATTACATTTTGTGACGTCGAAGCCAAGAATGGAGAACTTAGCATTCTCATCTCGCAGCCCACGATAAGAGCCAGCAGCATTGCAGGTGTATTGCTGAGGACAATAAAGAAAATTCGCCGAGAGGCAGAAAGAGAAGAAGAGCCAGTTTTTAGTTCCCCGGGAAAAAAAAAAAAAGCCCAAAAAAGAAGTATTAAACATAATTGGTTTAGATGGTTTTGATTAAGATGTGATTCGAAGAACTGTTCATGAATTTTATATTAAGGGGAAAAAAATTCCATCCCTTTCAAAATTACTTCCTGTTCTGCAAGAAAAGATTGATTTTAAATGGAAAAGAGAATCATTAAGAAATGTACTGCATAGTATTGTATTTGTATGGAGAAAAAGCCAAAAGAAGAGAAATGTTTTAATTGAAAGAAGTGACATTGTGTTAAAAAGAATGCAGTATCTTAGAAAAGTGAGGCAATTTCATCGTGAAAGAAGACCTCTCATGCACTTGGATGAAACCTGGGTGGATAGCAACATAACATTTTGAAAGTGTTGGCAATTGGAAGCAGTTTTTTACATCGTGCAGAGCGGCAATGCATCGAAAAGAATTATTGTTTTATGTGCTGGAGGAGATATGGGATTGTTATCTGATACATCTCTAGTATACAAAGCAAATACCACATCTGGGGA